TGGAGGATTATTTACAGAAACAGACTAAGCTCTGATTTTTTTCCTTCTAAAAATGCACATCTCGTATCTGAACAGGCAGGTAAGAGTGATACTATTAAATTATGGGACACCTTATCATAGCTGTTTTATTCTCTATGATCTCCAAATTTCTACTCCTCTCTAAAATATTTGTCAGGTATTTTATCCTTTCTGAACTAATTCTCCTATTTATAGAATTAATTCTGCAACACTAACGTTTTCCAGTAATCTTCACAGTGTGCAGAATTTTCACATTTTTGACCTTTGTGCTGTCCAACTCATCTTAGGTTTAATATTCCATTGTGCAAAGCAGACACCTGGTGTCCAGTATTCCATTGTATTTGAAGACCAGATTCTGCCTTAAATCAGAAAAAGAGCATCTCAAGCATTGATTCTGGTGTGGTTTTCTTTCATTAAGTATTAATTTCTTCCCTGTTTGAATGTCATAGGATTATCTCGGCTACAAGACTAGTTTGAGACTCAAAACAATCTGGCTGCTTGTTAATTAATAAGACAGAGTAATTGATATCTACAAATTTTGAAATAGAGATGGTCAGTGGCTGGCCATATGAAGAAATGAGAAAACTATAAGGAATAATATCCAGTTTTATAAAAAAAGGAAATCATGCTTCAGGAAAATCAATTTTGTTTTAGAAGTAATATTAACTCAGAGAGTAAGAGGAACTTTCTGATTAGGTTAAAGCAATCCTATCAATGTACAAAGAATTCTAACTTTTCTTATAACTTTTCAATTAGGCTGGTGTAGAGTATTCTTGAGGAAGACCATGGTATTGGCATTTAGAAGTCTGACTTCTTGATCTGGCTTTGTGAATATATTGCTGTAAACATAGCCTAGCCATTTACACTCACTCGATTGCTTCTGTACCTGTAGAATTAGGTGATTAGATAGATGAGTTCATCTCAAATTTCTTGCCCCACTTCTATACAAACTTACAATTCAAATGAGCATTTACCTGAGTTAAAATGTGTGGCTGGACTTTCTTTTTGAAGCTGTGTGCTCCTTAGCTCTAAATAACTGACAAATTTTAATATACAACAAAAAAAAACAAACTAAGCACCAGTAGTAAAAGACACAAAATTTGATCTTAGCTTCTGAAGAACTCCAGGAAACTCTTCAGCAGTTCCTAAAAAGACACCGGAGACAAGCACATGGCCTTTTTTAACCCAAACAAGCTTTCTTGGATTGTCAGAATTTATTCAATAATGACACACTATAAGTCATATGTTTGTAACAGAGAGACTAGAAATTAGTTTATATATCAACTACTTTTTGTATATAGCTGGATTATATTAGGATGTATAAGTAAGTGTGTATATCAGATACATGAAATACAAAAGATAACATGATAAAATATGTAAGAATGTATCATTAAATGTCAGTACACTATGTATTTGTGTGAGTTGCTGTCTTGTTTCTAATATGAACAATTCTGTAGCTATCCCTAGAAAATTCATTCGAAAAGAATTCCTTACGATATTAAAGAAAGAGTAAAAGAATCAAGATCATTTTATTCCCTTATTGCCTCTTTTCATTTCCTGCACTTTATTTTTCTTCTATCTCTTTGACCATTAATTTTGTTTCTTTTAATATTTCTCATAACAGCATCATCACACTTGCTCATATAGAACTTAATGAGATTAATAGAACATTTATTTTATATTTCATTCATAATTCCAAGAATTCATTTAGTGACAACAATAGCCAAAATGCAGCAGAAAAGACACATTAGCAGTTGTAAACACCTCAAGAAATTTCAATTTTATGAAAGTGTTACACAAAGTACAAGAAATTTAGTCTGTCTTCTACTTATTTAACTATGTTATCCTGAAAAGCTAAGTGTATGAATATGGCTTTTTAGATTGAAAAGTATTAGATTTATTTATTTCCTAAGTTGGTTTATATTCTGACACTAATGAGCCAATCATTATTTTCAAATATATTTAGAAATTATTCATTTCTTCAACTTTTCTTAATTTGATGGTTTTTATTTCATAAAAGCTTAATACAATTATCAAATACTATGTATATTGAAAGATTTTTTTTAAAGTATAATAGTTATCTCTAAATAAAAAAGCAACTACTGTAACTTTACATTTTCACACTATGCAATTTGGTTTTTTTCACCACACATTATTATATAGAAAAATCTTTCTAATGTTATTGTAAATTATTATTGTGTGTCATAGAGTCAGAACCAACCCATAGCTGACCTTCCAGCAGATTTTCAGAGACAGTTAATCGCATCACATGGGAGGAGATTGCCAATCCTTCTTCCACGGAGCAGCTGGTGGATTCAAACTGTGTGCCTTTGGAATTGCACAGCAGCTTCTTACCACTAGGTCACTAGAGCTCTCTAATAGTTATTTTAGAGGCTGTATTAAATTACATTATGCATACATATTAAAATACATGTAAATCTAATGTTTAGCATTTACAGTATTTCAAGTTTTCAACACTATAAATGTGTTGAACCTTTTGTGCTGGAGATTGCTTTATAAAGAGAAAAAAATATGACTATTATTATTGCAAAAGTCATGGAATCAAAATTTTTAATCCATTATTTATTTTAAGGTTTGTATCATTTTATATTTCCTTAGATAATGTTATGAAAGTACCTGTTTCACTGAATTTTTTCCTGCGTTTTGACCATAACAACTTTTAAACTTAAAAATTTCATTGCTGTTGCTGTCAGGTGTTATTGAGTTGAATAAAACTCATAATGAGAGTTGTAGATCTGAATCTTGCCTTATTCTGCACCATCCTGACAATCTTTGTCATACTCAAAGTGACAGTCACTGTACCAAGCCATTATTTTAAGGGGCTCCCTCGCTTTTGTTGACCTTCTACCTTTCTCAGCATGATGTCTTTCTCCAGGGACTGGGCTGTCTTCAAAACATGCCCAAAGTAAGTGATGAAGTTTTACCATCCTTGCTTGTAAAAAGCACTCTGCCTACATTTTCTTCAAGACAGATTTGTTTTTCTTTTGGCAATCTGTAATCTATTTAATACTTTTACTAGCACCACAATTCAGAAACATGGATTCTTGTTCAGTCCTCCTTATTCACTGTCTAACTTCTAGATGCATAGGAAGCAATTAAAAACACTACAACTTGGGTTAGGTGTAGCTTAATATTTAAATTTTATTTTATTATTTTGTGTGTGTGTACCGTCAAATTGAATCTGACTGGCACAGGAGGAGATTGCCCCTCCTTCTCCAGCAGAGCATCTGGTGGATTCGAACCTCACACCTCTGGGATTTCAGTGCAGCTTCTTGCAGCAGAGCATCTGGTGGATTCGAACCGCACACCTCTGGGATTTCAGTGCAGCTTCTTGCCACTAGCCCACCAGAGCTTGCCCAATATTTAAATTTTAAATTAAACTTTTTTCTTTAGTACTTTGGAGAGGTCCTTGAAGTTGGACAATATGAATGTCAGGGTTGGGTCCATTGGCCATACCCATTCAATCTGTTAGCCAAGTGAAGAGCTGGACTATCCCAGTGTACCGTCCAGACTGGAGGAAAACTCATTAACAATCTATGATATGTGGATGGCATAATCTTGCTTAATAATAGTTTAGAAAATGTTAAGAATTTAGTGATGGAAATGAAAGATTTCAGTATAGAGCTGAACCTCCTCATAAAGAAAACAAGAAATAGAAACTCATAACAACATCAAGATAAATGTATAAAATAATGAAGTGGGTGAGGATTTTATCTTACTTAAATTCACAATCAATGCCCAAGGGAGCAACAGGGAAGAAATTAAATGTCCTATTGCAGGTGGAAATTGGTTGTGAAGGATCTCTTTAAAGCACCAAAAGCAAGGATATTACTTTGATGTCTAAGGTACACCTGACCAAACTCACAGTATTTTCTTATTCGTAATCACTTAGTGCACATGTGAAATTTGGACAATGAGTAGGAAAGAGCAAAGAACTGATATCTTTGAATTGTGATATTGGTGAAGAATTTTGACCATGTCATGGTCTGCCAAGAGAACAAACAAATGTGACTTGTGAAAAGTACAGATAGGTTTCTTCTCAGAAACCTTTTCTCACATTCTTTGAGTACGTTTTCAGGAGGGTCTACTTAGGAGAAGGACTTCATGCTTGGTAATTAGAGGGTCAGTGATGGAAAGGAGATCCTCAACAAGGTGGATGGATGTAGTAGCTCCAATAATAATCTCAAAGTTAGCTACAATTGTAATGGCACGGGATTGGCTAGTGTTTACATAGGAATCAACTCAATTGTAACTAAAAACAACATAGTATTTAAAATGGAAATGTGATCTATGTGTTGGTTTGGGTAGATTGTTTTGTTATGTACAAAATAACTCTAAGAAGGGTGTTAACTATTCACAGGCATTCTCTACTCTTCATTTTTACATTTATTTTTATTCTCAGCTTAGACTTAAAGGCATTGCTTATTTTCTATTTAAAAAATAAAACTTTTTATACATTTATATGAAGAGTCTACGTTTTGGAGGGTTGTATATTTCTCCTTTTATTATTTAATCTTTTCTTTCACCTGAATCCCTTGAATTTATTTGGTGCTAATTTTACTAACTTCTGAAATTGCTTATTTAGTTTATGTGACAGGATTAAATCAGTCAAAGAACAGACTGTCTCTGAGTGCAGCTTTGTACAAACAGCACTGTTTATACCTTGAGTTTCCATAATTTTGTAAATAGCCTCCTACAAATCAAAATAAAACCTTTAAAAGCAATTTTAAATGATGATGTTATTGTTGTTGATTGTCATCAAGTTGAACACGACTCATAGCGACCCTATGAACAAAAGGCCTGGAACCTTTCTAAAATTATCCTCATTTATCAGAGTTCATAGAGGTTCCAGAGTATGTTGTTTAGGAAATGAATGCTATAATATTTAATATTATTTCCAGTGTTTCTAATTCTTTCCTTCTTCTCTTTCAGTTCGTTTCAGAGTCCTCCTTCCTGATTCAATGGATCAAATAAATGGTTCTGTAGTAACTGAATTTGTACTACTGGGACTTGCACATTCCTTGGAAATGCAGTTTTTTCTTTTCTTTTTTTTCTCTTTATTTTATGTAGGAATTATCCTGGGAAACGTCTTCATTGTATTCACAGTGTTTTGTGACCCTCACCTCCACTCCCCCATGTACATTCTGCTGGCCAACCTCTCACTCATTGACCTGGGCCTTTCATCCACCACAGTTCCTAGGATGATTTCTGATCTTTTCAGTGACTACAAAATCATTTCCTTCCCCAACTGCATGATACAAATGTTCTTCATCCACGTCATGGGAGGAGTTGAGATGGTGCTTCTCATAGCAATGGCATATGACAGATACACAGCAATCTGCAAACCTCTCCACTATCTAACTATTATGAATCCCAAAATGTGTGTCATTTTGGTAGTGATCGCTTGGGTAATTGGGGTAATTCATGCAGTGTCTCAGTTTGTTTTTGCCGTAAACTTACCTTTCTGTGGCCCTAATAATGTGGGTAGTTTTTACTGTGATTTTCCTCGGGTTATTAAACTTGCATGCATGGATACTTACCAGCTAGAATTTGTGGTCACTGCCAACAGTGGCTTCATATCAATGGCCACCTTCTTTTTCTTAATTGCATCATACATCTACATTCTGGTCACAGTTCGACAGCATTCTTCCAACGATTTATCCAAAGCATTCTTCACTTTGTCTGCTCACATCACTGTAGTGGTTTTGTTTTTTGCTCCTTGTATGTTTCTCTATGTGTGGCCTTTTCCTATTAAGTCATTGGATACATTTTTTTCCATTGTGGATTTTGTTGTCACCCCTGTCTTAAATCCTACTATCTATACATTACGGAACAAAGATATGAAAGTGGCAATGAGAAAGTTGGGTCGAAGAGTTATAAGCTCTAAGGACATGACATAGTAGGTTTTGTTGATAGAAGCACAAGATGAATTCCATGAATCATAAAGAATTTTGTGATTATCATGACCAATATGGAATGTAAATTTTCAATATACATTTTCATGAATGTCTTTGTAGATAGAAGAAATCTGCAGAAAAGATGACTCTAAGTTGTAATAACTTTTGTTAATAAAATACAAATTGTTATATATTTCTACCTAACTTTTACACCTAAATTGTGTTTTTGTTGTAGTTTAGTTGCAATAACGGCATTCAGTTTCACAGGGGATATATATAGTTGTTGTGGTTGTGTACCATTGAGTTGGAACCAACCCAAAGTTGAAACTCCAACAGGTTTCCAGAGGCAGTTAATTTTAATTGCATGGGATGAGATTGCCCACCCTTCTAGCATGGAGCAGCTGGTGGATTCAAACTATGTGCCTTCAAGATTTGAGTCATCTTCTTACCACTAGACTACCAGAACTCCTTATATATACATATGTGTATGTGTATACATATTTTTTAATTTGTATTTATCTGAAAAATGCTATTTCTTATAGAAATTAAGTAGATCCAATGGATAGAAATTTATACAAACTAATAAATTTTATAATTAAAGAAGAAACAATTCTCATCCTCACCGGGCTTTGTTAAGTAAATGAGAAGGCTTTTTTATAAAATAAGTAAGTTTTATTTCTAAAATGAATGAGACTTTTTAAAATAAATGAGAAGGCAAAAAAATTAAAAAAAAACAAAAAAATAAACAAGAAGGCATAAAATGCTATGTTATATGTCTTAAGTATTCTTTTCAGTCTCTGATATCATTAAATATATTTTGTACAATATTGTTATATAGATAGCCATTAGCATGCTGCAGTATACAAAATTTTAATACGTTCTAACTTTTCAACTGTTTAATTCTAATGTCCCGTACTCTTCCTCAGTTTGTTGAAGTCATTATAAGAATGGCTGACATGAAAAAGACATAAAAGGATACTTCAAAGAAGATATTCAGATAGCCACCAAATGCATGAAGATATGCTCACTATCATTAGCTATTAGAGAGACGCAATCAAAGCAATGAGGCATCATCAAAAGTCAGCCACACAAGTAAAGCTCAATAAGACATTAGATCACTATTTATTTTCCATAAATGTTGATGAGCATTTATGAAAAGTTTGCAAAGAATATGTACTGTCAATGGGAATTTTAAATGGTACAATCACTATGGAAAGTGGTTAGACAATTCCTTACAAATTGAGAAACAGAAAGATAATTTAACCCAGTAATTCTACTGTGTTTTGTTCTTTTTATGTGTTGTCAAGTCACTTGCAACTCATAGCAACCCTATGCACAACAGTTCTGAACTCTGCTTTTTCCTGAGCCAACCTTATCATCTCTGATACACCTACCCCCATCACCCCAGTCACTGAGTCAATCCATCTCATTGGCAGTCTTTCTCTCTTGTGCAGTTCTTCCACCCTCCCAAGCATGATGTCCCTCTCCAAGGATTGGTTCCTCCTTGCAACATGTCCAAAGTATATCAGAAGGAGCTTCAGAATCCTTGTCTCCAAGGAGTAGCCTGATTTCATCCTCTCTAGGATGAACCTCTTCATTCTCCTAGCAGTCCATGATTTATTCAATACTCTTCTCCAGCACCACAGCTCAAAGGCATCAACTCTCCTTCTATCACCCCAAGACATTTTCCAGTTTTTCAAAGCATAGCACATAACTGTGAAGACCGTGGCCTGGATCAGGTGCCCCTTGGTCTCCAGACTGACATCATTGCTCTTCAGTACTCTGGAGAGGTCCCTGACAGCAGACTTTCCCAGTGTAATTCATCTTTTGATTTCCTGGCTGCTGGTACCAAGAGTATTGATTGTGAAGCCAAGCAAACTGAAGCTGTTAGCAATCTCAATCTCTTTACCATCTATCATGATGCTGACAATCAGCCCAGTGGTGAGAATCTTTGTCTTCTTGATGTTTAGTGTCAAGGTTTCAGTCCTTGACCTTCTTCAGCAAGTGCTTCAGGTGCTCCTCAGTTTCAGCAAGCAAGATTGTGTCATCTGCATAACGCAGGTTGTTGATGAGTCTTCTTCCAATCCTGATGCTATATTGTTCTTCATAGAGCCCAGCCTCCCAAGATCTGTTCTGCATATAGATTGAAAAGATATGAAGACAGGACACATCCCTGGCATATAGTCCTTTCAATTTTGAACCATGCAGTGTTTCCTTGCTCTGTTCTGATGACTGCATCCTGGTTCATGTATAAGTTCTGCATAAGCACAATCAAGTATTCTGGGATTCTTCTTCAGCTTTTGCATAGTCAATGAAACATAGATAGACATTCCTCTTGTAGTCTCTGCTTTCAGCCAAAAGTCATCTATTATTAGCTATAATATCCCTAGTCCCACATCCTCTTCTAAATCCAGCATGCACATCTGGCAGTTCTTTGTTAATGTTCTGTTTCAGTCAGTTTTGGATAATTTTCAGCAGAATCTTGCTTACATGTGATATAAATTATATAGTTTGATAATTTCCATACTCTATTGGGTCACCTTTCTGTGGTATGGGAACAAATCTAGATGTTGTCCGGATTTCTTGGCACAGCTTGATGAGCACCTCCAGGTCAGCATCTATCTGTTGATATCTGTCAATTGATATTCTGTCAATTCCTAGAGCTTTGTTTTTTTGCCAGTTCCTTCAGAGCTACTTGATCTTCCTCCTTCCACAGGCTCTTGCTTATACATTGCTTCATTAAATTCTTATGGGTCAATCAATTCCTTTTGGTACAGTGACTCTGTATACTCCTTCCATCTTCTTTTAATGCAATCCCACTACTAGATATAAATCCCAATGAAATAAAAGGTATAACACACACACACACACACACACACACACACATCCATGTTCATTGAAACATTATTTCTAATAGTAAAGAGACAGAAATATCTCAAGTGCCCATCAATAAATTAATGGCTACAGAAAACCTGGCACATTCACAAAATAGAGTATTATGCATACTGAGAAAGAAAAAGAATTTGTTAAACAACATGAATTAATCTAAAGGAAATTATGCTGAACACATAAGTCATCACAAAAATGGCATTTCATAAAAGTCTGCTATTATAAAAAACGACTCAGGGAAGACTTACGTACAGATAGTACCATTCTTAGAAGACTCACAGAAAAGAAAGAGAGGGACAGGGGAGTAATTATTAATAAATAGATGAATTGGGTTAAGATTAATCATATCAGATAATGTATTTCATGAATCTATTATAATTAAGATTATTAAAAAATGTGCATGAATAATTAAAAACAGTATAATTAATAAACTTCAAATAAAGTGTAAATTTTATGAATGGTTGATTGATTATAAAGTTTCACCTACTATTCCAAAATAAATGAGCTCTATACTATGCTGGTCAGAATTAATGCTTTCAATTCAAAGTTATAAAGTTTAAATCCACCAGCTGCTCAGAAGGGGAAAGATTGGACATTTTATCCCTTGTGATTTACAGCCTCTGAAAAGCTATTGGTTGGTCATCTGTGAGTAGGTTCCAACTCAGCAGTACATAACAACTTAAAAAGAAAAAAAGGATCCATGGCAGTGTATTGCTGCTGTTGAGCTCTGGTGGCTCAGTAGCAAGGAATTGTACCGCCACAGTTCAAATTCACCAACTGTTCCCAAGAAGAAAGATGGGCAGTCTCCTATCGAGTAATTGATTGCTTCTGAAGACTCACTACAAATTTAGCTAGATGTTGGTTCCAGCTCAATAGTGCACGCCAACATCAACAACAAGCAAAACATCAGCAGTTTCAATCCTCCAGATCCTCTGCTGTAAAGACTACAGCCTTAGAAAACAAAGGAAGGTCACTATGACTAGAAATGAACTCAATTCCTATGTTGTTATAGAGTTGTAGAGCTTTTAATCCTAAAACATTTGAAGGGACCTGTTTATTAGAAAAATTATTGTTAAGGACCGTCAAGTCAGTTCTAGCTCAAAGCAACCCTAAGTACAACAGAATGAAACACTTCCTAGTCATGTGCCAATCTTTCACAAGTATTACCATGTTTGAGCCCATTGTTGCTGCCGTTGTATTAGTCTATTTCATTAAGGGTTTTCCTCTTTTTTCATGGACTCTTTTCTTTATCAACATATTACATTTCTCCAGAGATAAGTTCCTCCTGACAGCATCTCCAAAGTATGTGAGACAAACATTGTCATCATTGCTTCTAAGGAGCATTCTGGGTATACTTCTTATAAGATAGATTTGTTCATTATATTGGAAGTACATAGTATATTTATTATTCTTAGCCAATGCCATAATTCAGTGACAAATTTTTTTCTTCTTTATTGTCAAACATTCAAATACATATGCAGTAACTGAAAATATTATCTTGAGTTAGATGCATCTTAGTTTTCAAAAGTGTTATTTTTGCCTTTTCTATGTTTAGAGGAGTCTTTACAACATCTTTGACTAATCTAAATCTTGGGAGAACATTGGGATTGAAAAGTATGTCCAATGACTCCATTCCTAAACTGTTGAGATGAATGACACCTTCCAGATTTACCTTCAAAATACTGATGATAAAGAAGTACAATTTAAAGGTCACATCATAAGGAATATTAATTGTGGTAACCAAACTCGGTTTTAACTGCTACATGGTATTAGTCACTTTTAAGTGAATAATAATAATTAAGGTTTTATTATCAGTCATGTTTTTCTCTTAAACTGTTTTCACAAGTTGACATTAGTGTTTTAAGTCATTGCCTTCTTGTTTTCTATTTCATTTATTTCTGCTCTTGTTTTTATAATTTCAGTTTTTTTAAAGGGTGTCGGGTTTTCTTGCTGTTCTTTTTCAATTTGCTGGAGAT